CCTCTGTTTTGTGAGGTGGAGGACTTTGTGGACTGGTGTTGGGTTAATGGGTTAATGTTGGACTTGTGGGCTTGGGCAGCATTGGGTTGGGATGTTTCCATGATGCACCTTTTCTTTACATAAAACTCTCTCTTATACATGAGTTGCTGTGGATTTGTTTCTCCAAAGTACCTAGACTAATACAACAGCCTTACAGATATCCCATGCAAGTAAAATTTTGCTGCAGATCATGCAACAATGGTTATAGCAGTACCTTGACAGGGCTTTACCAGCATTTCAGGCAGGATTCAGAAAAGGATGTGGAACAAGGGATAGCCTTGCTAAGGTCAGGTGGAGCTTGACTGAAAGCAGAGAATACCAGGAAGGTGTTTACTTGTATTTTACTGACGATGTGTGCCAAGGCATTGAGAGACTATGGATAGCCTTGAGAAGAATGAAAATTCCAGACCACTACGTTGTGCGCATGTGGAACCCCTGCACGTTTTAGAACCAGGAAACGAGTTTCATCCTCTTACTGTACTTATTCAATCTGTATGCTGAGAAAATAATCAGAGAAGCTGGGTTGTATGAAGAAAAATATGACATCAGGGTTAAAAGAAAGTTTATTAACCTGGGATATGCAGATGACCCAACCTTGCTTGCTTAAAAGTGAGTAGATTTGAAGCACCTGCTGTTGAAGATCAAGGATTTCAGCCTTCAGTGTGGATTACAACTCCGTGTACGGAAGACATAAACCTTCACAACTGGACCCATACGTAATATCTTGATTGTAGAGAAAAGATTGAAGTTGTCAAGGATTTTGTCTTGCTTTAATCCACAATCAATGAAGCAGTCAAGTCAAGAGATCAAAAGGCCCATTGCATTGGATAAACCTACTTTACAATGTCTCTTTAAGGTGTTGAAAAGCAGAGAGGTTACTTTGAGGACTAAGGTGGGCCTGACCCACGCCACGGTGTTTTCATTTGCCTTATATGCATGTGAAAGTTGGACATTGGATAAGGAAGACTGCAGAAGCATCAAGGTGTTTGCATTGTGGTGCTGGAGGAAAACATTGAAAGTAATCCCACTCCTGCCCCAGGTGAGAGCTTTGGGTCAAAGGAATGAGGTCCACCTCAGGCTGGTCTGACTGTCACCCAGGCTAAAAGGCCTCGTGTGACACAGCAAGAGGAGGGTGTCCTGTCACCACTTCATAGGCACAACTTCTGAGGTCTTCACAAAAGACGACCCTAGCTACAAGTGTCACCATACTCAGAATTGCAATCAGGTGGCTTCCTCTAAAGTATTTGTATTTTCCCCCCAAGTCAGATGTAGTCTACCTCAAAGAAATAA